TTAATGGATTTGAGTCTCAATTTTAAATGTAAAGCTAAGCATACTTTACTCCTCTAAGTGGAGGTGGCATAAGGATTATTTATATGCCCTATCTGGGGTTAGCACTATGAGGCGATGGTGAGAGCTTGAGCTAGTGATTAAGAAGGGTCCTCTTCCTCTTGTGGCTGGATCTCTGGCAGGTTCCCGGCCCACAGGGAGGTGATGCTGTCCATGCTCATGCATTCCTCGTCCAAAGAAGTCTTCCAGGCGTCTGCCAATGCCCTGTCCACTCTCTTGGAACAAAATGGTAAGTGGTAGACCATATTTTTAAATAAACGGAAACATGTTTTGTGTTTTTTTAATTATAGAAGCTACATATTATATAAAACTCAAATATGTAGACATGTAGATCTGGCATATGGATATATTGATATATAGGTAAGAAATCAATAATAAAATGTTTTAATGTATGTTTGTTGGACTTCTTTATATGTACTCACATATTACATATACAATTTCAAAAAATATTTTTTTGCAGACATGAAATCATATTAAACTCTTACCAATGAAATTTTATATATTTTTCATGTTAATAAATGCACAATCTTACATTATCTTTTTAAATAGCTGTGTAGGATTCCAATATATGTATTATCTTTTTAACTAATTTTTTTTTCTTTCTTTCTTTTTTTTTTTTGAGACAGACTCTCACTATGTCTCCCTCTGTAGAGTGCTATGATGTCACAGCTCACAGCAACCTCAAAGTCTTGGGCTTAAGCAATTCTCTTGCCTCAGCCTCCCAATTAGCTGGGACTACAGACGCCCACCACAACTCCCCGCTATTTTTTGGTTGCAGTTGTCATTGTTGTTCAACAGGCTGGACCTGGGTTGGATTCAAACTTGCCAGCTCCAGGGTATGTGGCTGGGGCCCTAGCTGCTGAGCTACAGGCATTGAGCCTTAACTGATTTGTTATTGATGGCCTTTTAGCCTGTGTGCAGTAGGGGTTTTTTGGAACCTATAATAAATGCAAAATAGTCACTCTTCTCTTCTCCTGCTTTCCTCTATACATTTCCTCCATACATGGTCTATGATTATCTTAGGTCAATTTTATAGAAATGTGATGGGGCAGAGAGATATTCACCATTTTAAAATCTGGAAAAATTGTTCATTATAAAATTTTTATACTATAGTTATTTAAAAAATGGTTCTTTACATGTAATTCTTTTTTTTGCATGTAATTCTTATACATCTTATAGCTTTGGATAATTAAAAAGAGAAGGATAGTTCCTATATCTTTGGAAGGAGTTGTGAGGGTTAAGAGTGTGGTTTAGGCTGCTCAGATATTCCTGCCCCATATACAGGAAATCCTGCCAGACAATGTTGGGTGAAAACTCATAAAGGCATTGAGACTTGGCAGGTTATCAGGGATATTTTTAGAGGGTGAAAATGGAGAAAAATACTGGAAGTCTGAAGCAGAGACTATGTAAACCCAGGCTGTTAGCAGAGAACTTGGGTAGAGTGAAAGAAATAAACTACCCCATTTATATTTCTTTATACCATTATTTAAGTCCAATCAAGAGGAAAATCCTATCTTCATTCTCTTCCTCTTTTCTCATGCCATCTCTCTGATGGGACTTTAAATAGAAATTGTGGCCAGGGCACCGAGAGACGGAAGTTGCTCTGGGGGACCGTGGATCAGCAGAGGAGTGATTGTAGTAGGAATCGCTATTCTTGAATCTCCCTGTGCAGTCAGAGAGGACTGGGCAGGGATGTCTCTCCTGAAAATGAGGGCTGGACTTTGTTGCTTTTGCAGGGGCTCCTTA